TGTGGCCTGGGCACCCTACTCTTCTACGGTGTTTGCAGCAGTCACCACCAATGGGAAAGTGAGTGCCTCCTTCCTGATTCCACCAAGCCTCTTCCTGCTACCTAGGACGAGGTAGCTATCTCCTCCCGGAGAGCGCACCCCAAGCCCGGGTCAGGTAGGAGAAGTTGGGACACAAGAACTGTGTGGTCTCCAGGGCCAGGCCATCCAGGGCCTTGTCAAAAGAGAAAGCATTCATCCCATGAGGCCTCGAGGAGAAAAGGAGACTGTGCATCTTGAAGGAGAAAGTACTCTGGGGATGAGACCATGAGGAACAGTAGTCTCTGAGGCCCCTAGGGAGGTAGCTACAGAGTAGCAGAGGCCAGTCCAATGTAAGATGTATGAGCTTAAGTTGGTCTGATTGAAATAGTATCTAAAAGAAGTGAGGTCCCACTCTTGGGATTAAGCAAGCTGAGTCTGCGAAGGGCAGATGGAAGGACTCTACTCAACACTGAGAATTATTGAAGACAACTAACATTTTGTGAGAAAATTCTTAGGTGCAAACCCATTTTCTCTATGGACTTCGATATAAACTGAGAGGCACTTACCCAAGGAAAGAATACAATGATTTTGACATTGTCCTAAAGTCAGTCCATCAGTCAGTCAGTCAGTCAGTCAGTCATCTGACAAATGGTCAACTATGGTGCCTGCCTCCAGGGGAGGACCTGGTGATGCAGCTGTTATATTAAGAAAGTGCGAGGGAGTGATGTAAAATACAAGGGGCGGGGGGACCACTCAAAGAGGTCAGGGACAGCTTCTTGGAAGAGGTAGAATTTAAGCTGAGCGCTGCATAATAGAGAACCAGCCATGTGAAGACAGGGTGGAGGGTATGCACATTCCAGACAGAGGGAAAAGCTAGTGCAAAGGCCCTGGGTTGAGAATGATCCTGAGAGGTTTAAAGAACAGCAGGCATGTGTGGCTGGGAACTAATAGGCGAAGGGGAGAAAACATGAGATGAAAGTGGAAAATTAGAGTAAGGGATCTGGATTTTATTTATACTGCCAAGAGGAGTTTAGATTTTTTAAAGGGAAGTCTGGCTGCTGATGAAGGAGGAACTGTGCAATGACCACAGTGGAAACAGAGAGGCCAGTTAGGATGCTGCCACAGCTGTCCAGCAAGAGTTGCTAGCGACTTGGACTTAGGGTGTGGTAAAAATAAGATCAAACATTTGTTGAGCACTTTATATGACAAGCCATGTCTGAACACAGCTGATGTCTTACATGCATCAACCGTGCAGACCCTGGCTCTGCCATTTACTAGCAAATTAGCCTTCAGAGCTCTATCTCCTCATTTATAAATCGGGGATAATTGATACAACCTACCTTATGCAGCAGCTGTGAAGGTAACAATTTGATGGTAAACCATGTAACATGCTTGCTCCGAGTCTAGTACATGATAACTGCTTCTAAAAGGTAGATGCTGTTATTCTTAATTCAGCACAGACTTAAACTTTCTCCCCAACTTTTTATGCTCATTTCCTCAATCTCAGGAAGAGCAAATGGAGACACAACTATACCTCTGTTGTGTCTCCCCAAAAAGCCCATGGACTGGTTCCCCTGGAGTGGGGGACAGGGGCCTCATTACCCCCCGAGTATGCTGACACCCACCTCTCCGCAGGCCCATGTATTTGACTTGTCCATCAACAAATACGAGGCCATCTGCAGCCAGCCAGTGGTGGCCAGAAAAAAGAACAAGATCACACATGTGCAGTTCAACCCCATCCACCCCATCATCATTGTGGGCGATGACCGCGGGCATATCACCTGCCTCAAGCTCTCACCCAATTTGCGCAAGATGCCAAAGGTGCGGACTTGGGGACTCTGGGCTGCCACGAGAGACAAGGGCTCCAGGACAGTGGGAGCTCAGAGGAAAGGGAAGAGCCAGTGGGAAGCCCCCAGGTTTGTGACCCGGGAGAACCAGGGAGAGTAGGTGGTGCCATTGCCAAATGAAGAGCAGAGCAGAGGCAGGTTTGTAGGGAGACAGATAGGCATTGACAAGCTGAAGCGGAGTTACCTGTGGGGCCTCCAGGTGGAGATATCCCCATGAGTCTGAGGCCTGGGGGAAGCACGTGCACAGCCTGGCTCATTCGGCGTAGACCAGGCCACTCGGGCCAGGGCTCAGGGCGTAGTCACTGCTTCGTCGGCTGGGCTTAAACCGGGGCTTCGGTGCCAATGGCCCCTCAGCTGGGCGCTGCAAGGAAGAAGGAAATGAGCCCTGACAAGGGTAACTAGGTCAGCAGAGTGGCAATCCTCCTTTTGAGTTCTGGTTCCTTTCTGGATTTAGAATGATTTTTGGGAGACCCTGCTCAGAGTCCCAGATCCCCAGTACATGCCACAGAGCCCAGAACTATGACCTCAAATCTAGATCTCTGAGTCCTAATTCAGATATTAGAACCCAGACCTTAGAATCCAGAGTCTGAGTCCAATTTAAAAGTCCAGAGCCCAAGAACCCAGAGCCTAGTCCTGCCCAATTGGGTGTTGAGAGAGAACATGGAATTTGCTTTCTGCCAAATTCTGGGTCAGGATCAGAGCTGAATCAGGTTTGGGTTAAGCTGCCCCAATGAGCGAAGCTTCTGGTCATAATTTGCTGCCGTCTAAGGCAAGGGCAGGGGCCTGTCTCTTTCAACTACTGACATCTGCCCCCCATACCTCTACCAAGACTGGGGCCATACACCATCCCTCTGTTGACAGCCTGGTCTGTTCCCCACCTCGGCCAGGGAGGCAAGTGCCTGGGAGTTCGGCCTGGCCTGTAATTGTAGCCAGCTGGGGGAGGGGGTGGACTTGGCTATAAATACTCAGAAGACTGCTAAGCGCCTGCAGCTGTGGCCCAGAGGCTGTGGTGGGCTGAGGAGGATGGGCTGGGGGAGTGGGGGGGGTGTCGGGCGTGGTCTGAAGCTCTTTGCTGAGCCCAGCTAGTTGGTCTCAAGGAGGGGGAAGGAGGCAGCACAATTTATGGAACAGATAAAATCTGCTCTTAATTTAGTGAAGAGAGAGACCCAGGCTGGAGCTGGCAGAGCTGGACAGCTTGTGGGAGGGATAACGGTCACCTCTGGGTACTGCCATCACACCGTAAAGATGGCAGGTCAGGATGGGGGCCCACTCTGATCCCGGGAGGCAAGGATCTCCCATAAAACTCTTCTCAGAATAACTGTCAGTCATGGCTGGGAAAGCTGGACTCTGTGTTTCTGGGGACCTGTATCTCTGAGGACATAGATACCTGGGGATCAGAGGCCCCGAGCAGGTGAGAGCTGAGGGCTGGTACTCGGGTAGATTGAAGGTTCCTATGAATGGGTGCAAAGAAATCCTCTGGGTGTTGCTCTTGCCCCTCCCCTGTGCGCTGCAGTCTCCCTTCCTAAGAGGACTTGGCCCCAGAGGCCCAGCTTCCTGGCCCAACGGAGCCCAGCTTGCCCAAGGGCTATCAAGGGCTATCTTTCCTCAACTACTGGATAAATCAGACTCAGAATGGCAAGAGACTTGCCCCAAATCCTATAGGGATTTGGGCTTTCATGACAAAGCTAGAACTAAAAGCCAGGTCCCCTAACTCCCAGGGGATGCGGCGAGGCCCAGAAGACAAGTCAGCATTAATTTGAGAGGGAAGAGAGAGACAGAAAACTTTGTTCTCTGCCTCCAGATTGTATAGGTGAGCTGGGTGTTGGCAAAGGGTACTGGGCCACAGGGGCATGGGGAGACAGATTTGGGAGCAGGAGGAAATCTGGTGTCAGCTGCTGGGATGGGGCCAGGAAGGGGCCTGCTGGCCCTGCATTCTCCTCCACTTCTCATAGTGGGAGCCAGAGACAGGCTGGGCTCTCAGCAGGCAAGGCTGGGGCAGGTGCCAGGGAGCAGTGGGCACAGGTGGCTGAGAGGGTGGGAACAGAGGAAAGGCAGGAAGTAACGGCTGCCCTAGTCTCACAGCCCAGCCCACACCTCACTTGCCTGGACAGAGGGGAAGATGGGACTGGTCCTGGCCTGCCAAGGAGCTCTTGGGACCTGTGGCACATACGCTAGCATCCCAACTCTCTTTTTCTCCGGGCTCAGCTCAGCAGCTAAAGCACTGGCATGCTCTGTAGGTCAGGGTGAAGGGTCACAAAGAGGCTCTGCTTTTCTGAGGGGCAGTTCCTCAGAACTGTCAAGGACATCTGGAATTACTTGGACTGTCTGCCTTCTTGGGTCTCCTTATACCCTTCCTCACTCTGGGTATGTCTGCCAGGCCTGGCCCCAAGGGGCACCCCGCTCCCAATCTGACCTGAAGGTATTAGGTAAGAGTACCCAGTGAGGGTACCAGTGTCTTTGTCCACAGCCTTCTCCACAAACACCCCCTGTGGGGGGTGTGGTCCCAGCAGTCAGAGGCCCCCCCACCCCAGGGTTACAGCTCTCCCTAGCTTGAAAAGCTAATTCCTCAGTGGTTTGTGCATGGATACCTTCCTCCGCTCCTCCTGGCATCAAGACCCTATGTGCATCTGAGGTTCAAAGCGGGAACCAGATGCTTCTTACAGACCTCAGCTGGGCACCCCAACAGTCACCTAACCTGAGTTAGGGAAGGATCACATGGAAGTAGGTGAGCAGAATCTAACGGCAGGGGCAGGGTAGGGCCACAAATGGGACCCAGAGGTGGCCCATCCCCTACAATTCATCCCCCTCCCTGCAGGAAAAGAAGGGGCAGGAAGTGCAGAAAGGTCCAGCTGTGGAGATCGCAAAATTGGACAAGCTGCTGAACCTGGTGAGGGAAGTGAAAACCAAAGTCTGAGGCCTCCTATCAGTCCTTGTCCCCTTTATGGAGTCTACTTGACCCTGGTACTCAAGTCTAGCCTTAGCACCCAGAATGTGATCTGATCAGAGCCCACTACCCTCTCTAGCCCTCACCCAGGACTCGACCCACAACCACCATTATCCCACCCCTCTTCTTAACCCAAATAAACCTGTTTGTAAGCCAACCCCACACCTTTCATTTTGCTATGGCAAGGCCCTCAGGAAGAAGAGAAAATCTCAGGGTAGAGCCATAGTTCCATTTATTATCCAACAAACAGTGGGAGGACCAAAGGAGGGGCCCAACCTGGTCACCCTCCCATTATTGCCATGGAGTCCAGTTTGCTTCCCCAACCCAGAGGGCCTAAAGGTGCTCAGCCTAGGGAGAGGATGGACCCAGCCTCTGGCCCCTGGGATGGAGCAGAGTCCAGATGGTCCTGGCCCTAGCACCAACTCGTGAATCCTCACCCTAGGCCTGTCTACCTGGGGCCACCAGAGTCCTCCTTGGAGCCAAACTGGCTAGATCTTGGCTGCCAGGTGCAGCCCCAGACAAGCGGGCTGGAGCCTGGGATCCTGATTCCAGGCTCTGAGCGGGATAGTCTGAGGTCCCAGACTCTAGGGTAGGCCCAGGGCCTTCAGGGCTGCAGCAGGTAGCTGCCTTCATGGCTGGGCTTCTGGGGTGGGGGCGCTTTCTCAGGACAGGGGCCAGGGCTGGAGTTGGGACTGGATTCAGAGAGTGAGTCAATGTCCGCAGAGCGAGAGTGGCAGGCCCAGCAGAGAATGACCCAGAGCAGCAGCAGCAAGAAGCCCACAAGGCCGTTGCAAACGATGGCAATGAGGGCCCCCTGGGAGATGGCTGCCCCCATGACGCGCAGCACCCTTAGATCAGCGCAGACAGCGGGGCTGCCTCAGTGGCAAGGCCCATGCCGAGGCGAGAGTCCGGTTTGGCTGGCCTTCCAAGGAGGCTGTCCTGTTCGCACACTCAGTGGTTCCCGGGTGGTGGGGAGGTCCACATGCGGTCCTGAACCTGTGGGGGATACCCAACAAGGGGACGTGATGAGGAGGGAGGGGGCCGAGCAGAGAAGAAAACCTCTTCCTACATCCCTGGCCTCCCTGGCAGAGGGCTGGTCCCCAGCAGGCCCGAATGCCCCACTGGGCCGATGCCTCATCCTCGGGTCCGGTTCTGGGCACCTGGATGGGGGTGCAGCCCCAGGGGGGAAGCCGGAGTTGGCAGACTCTGCTGCTCAGAACCAGGGCCCCGGCCTGCCCTGCCCACCGAGCTGCCAGCTCTCACGCGCCTGGAAGGGGGCGGGACTGCAGCAGCCCAAGTCCTTGGAGGATGGCGAGGGTACGGCCGGGCCGCCTCCCCCTCTCGGGACGGCAGCCAGCCGGAGGCGCCAGCCCGCACAGAGGGAACTTTGTGGAGGCCCGGCCGGCGCGCGCCTTCGCGCAGGCAGGTGTGTGCGCGTCCAGCTCGCGCTCCGCCCTGGCGCCAAGCCGGGACGCGCGCCCCTGCCCCTGCCGCCCCGCGCCTGGCCCCGGGGGGCTGGCGGTCCCCCGGCCGGCTCCTCGCGTCCCCCTCTCCGAGCCCGGGTCTCTCTCCGTCTCTGTGTCTCCTCCTCCGGGTCTCCGGGTCCGGGTCTCCCCCGCCGGGCCGAGCCCCCGCGCAGCCCTCCCCGGGGTCCGCGTCCGTCTCCGTGGGGTCCGCGCCTCGCGCCTCCGCCTCTGGGTCTCTGGGCCTCGACCCCCGCGCCCTGGGGGCCCCCCCTTACCTGAGCCGAGCCCGGCGCGAGCGCGGGCGGGTCCGGGGCGCAGGAACGCCGGGCGCCGACGGAGACCGGCCGCGACGCGGGCGCCCGCGGGCGGGGGGCGGGGGGCGGCGGGCGGCGGCGGCGGGCGGGGGCGCCGTCCCCTCCCCGGCCCTCCCCCTCGGCCGCGCAGCCTCGCCGGCCGCTCCCGCCGCCGCGCGCCCGGGGCGGCCTCCGCCGGGCGGTCTGCGGCGCGCCGGCACCTCCTCCCCCGGGGCGGCGCCTCCTCCGCGGCCCGCGGCGCCCGGCGGGCGGGGGCGGCCCGAGCGCGGGGTTCGGCGGCGCTCGGCGGCGCTCGGCGGGGCTCGGCGGGGCTCGAGCAGGTTCGGCCGGGCTCGGTGGGCAGCTGAGGCCGCGAGGAGCCCCGCCTCCCGGGGGCCGGGGCCGGCGACCTGGGGGGGAGGGGGAGGGGGAGGGGCCGCCCCCCGAGTGGCCGCCGCCGCGACTCCGGTGCGGGGCGTGGGGCGCGAGCGCACCCCGGCTGCGGCGGCCCCGCCGTCCTGCTCCGTCCGGGGGGAAGGGGCGGGGCAAGGCCACCCACTTGCTGGGGTTTCTGGGACCTCCCGCCCCTGGAAGCGCCGCGCTCCCAACCTCTGAGAGACCAAAGACCCCCCCACCCCGTCTGAGGAAGGCCGGGTCCACGCCTGGGGACACCCCACCCCTTCTCACCCCGCGCGTCCCCGCGACCCCGCCGCACGGCCACTCCCGCCGGGGTGTGGGCGCTGCGCGTCCCCTGCAGAGGGTCTGGTCGACCCCACACCCCTGGGCCCCAGCAGGTGCGAGCGGCTCTGCCAACTCGAGATCTGGCCACGCATCTCCTGAGCGCCCGGCTCGTGTTGGTGATGAGTGTGTGGTCTGCTCGGCTGCGCGGGGCCTGGGGCCGAGTGGACGCGGGTGCCTGGACCGGGCGTGACTCTCCGTCCTGGGTCTCCTGGGAGGACAGTCAGTGTGGGGGGAGCCATCAGGGAGTGATTTCTCCCTCCTCCCTCAGTGACCTGGACACTCATTCCGTTCTGCAGAGTCTCCCTGAAACTATATCCTGAAGACTCTTGGTGCTCCCAAATCTGGGGTTCTGGACTTAGTGCCTGGAAGTGTGGTGATTCCCGGTTCTTGACCTCGGCAAGTTACCTAACCTCCTTTAGCCTCAGCTTCCTCATCTGTAAAATGGTTATAGTAAGAGCACCTCTTAGGGGTGCAATTCACTAATTTTTTTAATATCAGACCAGCCACACCTCAGCAAACACTAACCTACACAACCCCAAAGGAGCGCTTCCAACGCGGGGAAATTCACATGACATCCCTACACATCCAAATGCAATCTCGAAAACGGAAAGGGTAGGGTAAAATATGCCGAAAGACTGAGTCACCCAAACCTACTGAATTACATAGAGACTGGCTAAAATAAAATGTGGGGGCCCTACTGAGTTTACCAGAGTGGATTAATTTTAGTTTCCTCTGACCCTGTTAGCCAGCAGGGTGGGGGCATTGTGAAGAAGATCAAATCAGGAACAGAGGCGACCTGTGTCACAGCACATCTGAGCGTGCTGCAAATGAATATGCGACCCAGCTGCAGGAGTTCAGATTTTATTCCAAAAACAGTGGGGAGCCACTGAAGAATTTTGAGCAGAGGAGTAACATGATCACATTCAGAAGTTAGAAGTATGGCCTGGGCTGCTGGGTGGAGAGGAGCATTGAAGGCATTTGAGAGTGAAGGCAAGGAGTAATGACAAGGGCCTGAAATGATGTAGGGAGGGGAAGAGAAAGGAGAGCATTGATGCTATTTGGGAGGTCAGCCTGGAGGAGAGCTTAGAGACCTAGACCTACGGAATATGAGGGGTGAAAAGGAGGGAATTGTCTCGGAGAATACCAGGTTGGTGACTAGGGGTACAGTGAAGCCATTTACTAAGATATAGAATACATGAGAAGGGGTGAGTTTCAGGGTGCTGGGGTGGGATGGTGACTTCAGCTTTGCATGTGCTGTATTTGAGGTACCAATTGGACACGCAAGTTGAGATGTCCAATAGATATTGGATAAACAGGTCTGGGGTTCAGGAGAGAGGTCCAGGCTCAAGATAACATTTTGTGAGTTGTCAGCAAAAAGTAATAGTCAAACCAGAAAAGGGATGAGCTCCCCCAAGAAGAGTAAAAACTAGTTTAAACAAAAAGATACACTTAAAAGCAGATGCTGAAATCTAAAGACAGGAATGCCTCAGGAACCACTAGAACTCAAAAGCCATTAAATTCTCTCTCCACCTCTCATCTCTATTTCTTGCTACCTATCTCCTTCATTTCCCTCCCCCACTACCCCCTCTTTTTATCCTTTCCCCCTTATCCTTCCCCCAGACTAGTTTACATGTGTGTGTTCTCACACACGTGCTGAAAAACAAGACTTCAGACCACCCCAAAGCTTAGGCATCTAAGGGGATTCTGGCTTTTTCTTGGTTGCAGTTTGCACATTCTTCAGGATACATAGTAATTGCCTTATCTTACTTAGTTAAATGCTTAACTCTGGACTAATCAACCAGGAGCCTAAAGTTGCCCACGGAATAACCCCATGGATATAGGGGCAGGAGGGTTCCCAGGAGAGGAAAGATCCCTCAAAAGCAGAACGGCTGGTATTCACTATAGCCACCCTTTGTTTTTCCAACACATACATCATTTTCCTATGATTCCAAAAAATGTCCTCACCTACGCAATCCTACCATGCACATAAATTTACCTCCTTTCCAGCGGAGGGCAATTCAGTGCCACATGCGACTACTGTATCTGGAGTCACATCATAGCACCACAATTCTTCAAGTACAGGTGCTCTGGCTAATGTCCTTCCATGTTCTAGAGTCAGGTCTCTGGAAGATGCAAATATGGTTTCGAATAATTCCATTACCTTTGTTTGAACTACCTTTAAACCACACACCCCTCCCCACCCCAAAAACCCTCCTCATATTTAGAGATGGAAGAAATAAGAGACTATAATGGAGTGAAAAAGAAGGAACTGCACAGTGGTCACCAATCACAAAAAAATCGATTTTTTTTTTTTTGTCCATGAATAACTGAAAATGATGAGACTAGAAAGCTCACAGCATGTTTGTTGGCTCACTTGGTTGGCTACAGCATTCTGCAGTCAGCCAGTCTGGCTGCCCCAAGTTATGTTTGCAAGAAGGAGATCCCTTATCCACTGTGCCGAGCACCAATGTGGAGAATTTCTCTGAGGGGCTCTGCACTGATTAGCACTACACTTTCTGGTGGTGTCTTACGGATTATCCTGGGATTGAGCAATCACAGATCTCGGCATTTATGAGGATTGGGTGTGATTTTATTTTTCCTCCCAGATAATACAGTTCTTTTAAAACCATAATCAGCTGTCTGTCAATTTTAGCTGGGAGAGAATTCTTTTTGCCAGTAACATATTTCATTGATCTAGGGCACATTTTTCCCCCTAGTTTAAATAATTCTGAGCTCAGAAGATGTCTTACAATTAATAGCATTAATCATTTTTAGCCCCTTTTTTTCTTAGTAATTAATAAAATAACTTAATAAAATCCACTCTGGACAGTTGAGGCATAAAAGGGATTTATTTATTTATTACTAAGGATTTATTTATTTATGCATACAAGATCTGGAATACAGGACAGAGGTGCGGGTGAGGAGGATGGATAGGTGAGAGGATTCACCAGAGACAGAGTGGGGAGCAGAAGAGGCAGATTGACTGAAATACACTGCTGAGGGGAGCAGTGGGTGAGACAGGAGAGGTCTGCTGTACCATGTGGGTCACCTCCCTGGCTGGGGATTAAACACCTGCTGCAGTGGCAGCGGATTGCTTCATAGTGCTGCGACTTAACCCCTGTGTCACCAGGGAGGCCCCATAAAAAGGGATTTATTAAATGACACTTAGATCAGAATTATTAAGCGAGCTGGGGAGATGTACTTGAGGCTAAGTTTCTAGGAACAACACCCAAACCTTACCACACAACCTGATGAGGAAACCACAGCCATTGCCACTCCAGATAGTAAGCACCAAGAGTTCAATTTGCCCATTTTACAAGCTCTATGGTTCTTCTGTGGTAGGAACTCAATACTGCAATCACTGGGAAACCACTGCTGTTACCTCAGCGCCACTCCTCCCTCGCCAAACCGGACATTAAGTACTGACACCAGTAGCAGAAATCAAAGACAGCCCTATGTCCAACCTACTTCCTTCTCAAGTCAAGGTTAACTGGGTAACCCAAGTTACAAACAACTCCCCGATCTTACTAGCTTAAAAGGTAGGACAAAGATGTAGTTCTCGCTCATGCTACAGTTCCAGCGTGGGTGGAGGGTGGAGTCACTCAGGATGCCACCTTCTTTTTTTTTTTTTTTTTATTTAAGATTTCTTTATTTATTTTATACAAGCACTGGGTACAGTCAGAAGCGCGGGAGGGTGAGAGAATTCACCAGAGCCAGAGCAGGGAGCAGAACAGGCAGAAGGACCGAAGTACACTGCTGAGGGGAGCAGCGGGCGGCAGGAGAGGTCTGCGCGCCATGTGGGACCCTCCTCTGGTGGCCGGGGAGCAGCCGGGGATCGAACCGGCGCTGCAGAGGCTGCGGGCAGCTTCGCAACCCAGCGCTCAACCACTGTGCCACCGGGGAGATCCAGGATGCCACCTTCTTGATACAAACCTTCAGCATTTGCTGTGCCAGAGAAGAGTAAGGGGAAAAAAAAAAAACATTCACTGGCCTCTGATCACATTGCATTGATGGAACAAACCTCATGGCCGCACCTCACATCCATGGGCAAGGGAAGTGCCATCCTCCTGGTGCTCAATAGGAGAGAACTGGAAATATTGTTGAATTTCAGTGATATTTACCTCTCATATGGTTTACTTACAAATCAAAGTCTCATGTGAGGGAGGTATCAAGGCTGTAAACAAGCTAAGAGGGATACTGAGAATTTCAGTTCTGACTTCTGTACTGAAGAGGGAGGAAACTGGAATTTAAACTGGGAATTTTCTCATAGAGAAAAGCAGAGTTCGAC